AAGTCGGACTCTCTTCGTGCTGCCAGTCCTACTGTCACGCGTCTCCTTGCTACTGTCGTCACTGACCCTTCCTTTGAGTCCACTGCTGCGGCTGCTCTTGTTGTTGAGCTCGTCGACTTTGCTGCTCGCTGTCGTCTAGACTACGTTGCTAGCCTTGTTGCTGAGTCTGCGTCTGTCTGTCCTCCGGCCGTCGGGGGTGAGTGTGCTCTTGGCACGGACGTCCTTGAGGACAGGCAGGAGGAGTTCCAGTGTCTGGCTGCTCCTTCACCTCATCTCGCGTCCGTACTGCTTACCCCTGAGAGAGACCCGGATGCACTAGACATCCCGACTCCGCGCTCTTACGCGGAGGCCGTAGAGGGTCCCTACTCCTCTCAGTAGCAGGCAGCTATGGATGATGAGATGGCTTCGTGGAAGTCCACAGGCACCTACGTTGACGCGGTTCCCCCTCCTGGGGCGAACATCGTCAGTGGCATGTGGATCTTCAGGGTGAAGCGGCCGCCGGGCTCTCCATCTGTCTTCAAGGCGCGGTACGTGGCTCGTGGCTTCAGTCAGCGGCAGGGAGTTGACTACTTTCAGACCTTCTCTCCCACCCCGAAGATGACCACTCTTCGGGTGCTGCTACACGTAGCCGCTCAGCTTGACTACGAGCTTCACTCCCTTGACTTCAGCACTGCTTTCCTGCAGGGTAGCCTGCACGAGGAGATCTGGTTGCGCCGTCCACCTGGCTTCAGTGGGACTTTCCCTCCTGGCACCCAGTGGAGCCTCCGACGGCCAGTCTACGGTCTCCGCCAGGCACCGCGCGAGTGGCACGACACACTGAGGACTACACTTGCGGCTCTTGGGTTTGCTCCCTCTACTGCCGACGCGTCGCTATTTCTGCGCACCGACACCTCTCTGCCGCCGTTCTACATCCTCGTGTACGTCGACGACTTGGTCTTTGCCACAACTGACACTGCTGGACTCGCCCACGTGAAGTCTGAGCTGCAGAAGAGACACACGTGCACAGACCTGGGTGAACTGCGCAGCTGCCTTTGCATGCAGATCACCCGGGACAGAGCACGCCGCACCATTACCCTGACTCAGCCACACATGGTGCAGCAGGTCCTTCAGCGCTTCGGCTTCATGTACTCCTCGCCTCAGGCCACTCCTCTGTCTACTCGCCACTCGCTCTCAGCTCTGCCTTCGGATGAGTCCGTAGAGTCGAGTGGCCCGTACCCAGAGCTTGTTGGCTGCCTCATGTACCTGATGACCTGCACACGACCTGACCTTGCATACCCTCTTAGCATTCTCGCACGCTATGTTGCTCCTGGGAGACACCGGCCAGAGCACATGGCCGCAGCGAAGAGGGTGTTGCGCTACTTGTGCAGTACGTCGGGCATGGGGCTAGTGCTTGGAGGGCGGAGTCCAGTGGTCCTCACTGGGCACGCGGACGCTTCTTGGGCAGACGAGCAGGCTACGCAGCGGTCGTCACAGGGTTACACCTTCAGCCTTGGTTCCGGCTCTGTTTCGTGGCGGGCTACCCGCTCGTCTTCTGTTCTCGGCTCCAGTTGTGAGGCTGAGATCTACGCCGGGGCCATGGCTGCACAGGAGCTTCGCTGGCTCACCTACCTGCTGACTGACCTCGGAGAGCCGCCTCGTTCTCCTCCAGTGCTGTACGTAGACAACAAGGCCATGCTGGCCTTGTGTCGAGAGCAGAGACTGGAGCACAGAACGAAGCACATTGCTCTTCGCTACTTTCTTGCTCGTGAGCTGCAGCAGCGTGGTCAGTTGCGTCTTGCGTACGTGGCCTCTGAGGCCAACACTGCTGATATCTTCACCAAGGCACTTGCGCCTTGTGATCATCAGCGCTTCTGTACTCAGCTTGGTCTTGTGCCTGTCTTGCCTCATTTGCTCACCTCTTGACCTTGCTTCTACTGTTACATATATATACACCTGCTCTTGCTTGTCTAGCTTTCTATATATATGTACTCATGCATGTGAACTGGCCTTGTGGCCTTGAACTTGTGCTCGGAATGTGTGGTGACTTTGTGATCCACCCTGAGCTTGCTTTGCTTTGCTTTGCTTGACTGGTCTTGTGACCACTTGCTCTCCCCCACTTTGCCTATGGGGGTGTGTCAGAACATTATAGCTTATGCTTTTGTGTAGGTTGTAGTGGGGTAGCCCATATGGGGTACAACCCAATTAGGGTTAGTACTTGTACCCAACTGTTTCATAGTTCATTCATTCTCGTTCACATTTTCTCAGGAATAATATCACGTCCCGGTTCTGCCCTTGCAAGCGGGTCTGGCCGCGCCATTGGGAGTCGTAGTCATGGCAGATCCACGCCTAATGCATCACCTCGTGCGGTTCCTAGCGAGGCCGGTCGGACGGCATCGCGGGGTCAGTGTCCTCGTCGCCGGTGTCTTCTAAGTCGCAGTCTACCTCTCCGGCATCGAAATAGGCCAGCGTGTCGTCGGTGGTGTTAAGTGGGGTGTTGTGCGAGGGAACTCGAGCAATCACTTGATCGAGATCTATCACGTCTAATCGGCGTGCGGTAGTATTATCTATCATTGCACGTCGACGGCGGGCAGGAGTGCTAGCAGCAACTGGAGCAGTGGTAGGTGCCGTGGTTCCATTGGCTTCATTATGTGACGCGGACATGGTGATCCAATTCTACCCTGAAGGCACAGCTTGAATGCGGGGTATGGTTACCTTTAATCCCTGTGAGCTGCTTTCCGTAGGGGGGGTTGGGGGTTGAGGAAGATGTCAAGATTGTTGGCGGGATTGCATAGCCCAATGCGACGCGGCGGGTGAGACGCGCAAACGACACGCAATCGTGCCACGACGCATGCCACATGGTGGGCTTAGCGCGATGGGCGATGCGCAGGGTCATGGATGTGACTCCATTGGTGCACGAAAGAATCGCGAGGCTCGCTGAAACCTCGTACGTGCCTTAGACAACACACGTTCGGTTCATGGTGGTCGACAGGGTTTGTGCATATATTCGAATCTTGTTCACATTTATAGGTTCGCACTTAGAGAAGTTGGTGATGGAGTCAAGCTTGACGAAACGTTATGCGAACATTGGCGACATGGGTAACCACACCAAGTTCGACCCGTATTACGAACTCCAAAAAAAACCACACACGCCCTTAGACTTGGTGAACGAAGCCGGCCAAGGGTCTACGCCAATGATTACGCTGCCGGCGCTGACTCGCAACTTGGGATTTGTCGTTTTACTCTCACCATTGTGCGAGCACAATGGTGGAAGCATGGTTGCCTATTTCCTATCGAACAGGACCGTTGGCTGCTGTTGGTGTTCTGTGGTGAATGCAGCAAGATCGAGGGTCGTCACAGTAAAAAAATGAACCGTCACCTTTAGGGCGCGTTCCTATCCCGTATCAGACACGAAGCCAGACACGAAGTTGAGGTTGGGAAGACCCATAGGGACTCGGTATGCTGTGAAACTTACGAAACAAGCTCTCACCTCCTTCGAAAGCACCTCGAGGGTGATGAAAGACACCCTCCAGTACGTGGGGGTTACAGTGAATCGAAAATGCACTATAGATGGTTTTCCAGCACTGGAAACAAAATATCCAATGTCGGGTTTTACATCCCGTTAAGATGCCAAAAAGTCTCATATTTCGCACTTGTTAACATTTTGGGCGACCAGCTGTTGAGATCTAGAAGAACTGGTATACACTGCAGTTTTGAATGTACTGTACGTGTTATGAGATGTTCAAGAGAGTTGAGCAAAATAAAGAATATCATTATTCAGCTTTCGTGGAAATGACAACTCTGGATGGATTGGATTGAATCAAGGAAATCGGGATGGATCGCAGCAGGTCGTAAGTGTACGGCTTCCTCGGACTTGTAAACGTACCGAAGCATGCTATAAACGTACTTAAATGCAGGCTCTCCGTGACGCGTCTTTGTCACGAGAGATGCACCATACAGTATCCAAAACCGGGACCAGTAAGTGGGTATCAATACAGTAGAATGCGCTTACCGCGTCCGCTCATCTGGTTGTCCTTTCAAACCAGGTGGTGGCGAGCAGCCGCATCATTCCGAATCGTGAGAAAGCTAGATTCACCGAATGAAAACACGCAACATATATATCCACCCCGAATCGCCGCACAGAACCGTAGAGAAAACCAAGGAATCGAACTGGGTTAGGGAAACAGTGAGGAACAAGTATAAGTCCACTGCGAGTCCCAGTGATCAGTCCAGTGCCCCAGTGGGCCACCAAGCAAGAAGCAAAACATCAAATCAGCCGCCACAAGCCAGATACACCAACTTTTCATGGCACTGATATGGGTTCTGCTGAATGTGTTGCCCTCCCATTGAAGTGGATTGAATAAAAGATCGTAAAATTCTGCCTTTCACCGTGTTCCCCCACGTTTTGCGAAACACGGCTCGTTATTTCAACCCATCCGCGACACGACTCAACCGCGCATCAGCTGTAGGACGCAGGAGCATTCGTGGAAGACTAGCACCCACCATGCACTCAAAGCGCACCTAGGAAATGACGGGGACGGGATGTGACGACGATGAGCCCAGCCAACCAACTCGTCAGCTCAGCTCAAGTCAACGATCATCACCTAGAAACACACTCGGGACAGGTTGATAGTTGGGCTGATCTCCCATCTATTCTCTCACGCGAGCTCGTTACAAACATCGTGTAAAAACAACGCATTACGCGGTCTTGTCCGCCCGAAGTGGCCGTTTCTCTGCTGCTAGCAGGATAAGGTTATTAATATTAAGTTATATTCAGCTGCTCACTCCATTTTCAGTTTGTGTGCACTGAAGTTGTCGAAGCTGCATTGAAAAGCAGCTGGGGGTAATACAGCTGCTGCCATCACAGGATCTCAAACATAACCTTTTTCCCCGTTCTTAGCGACTCTAGGTAGCAGCCTGCTGGTTGCATCAGCCCTAGTAGGGTTCGACAAAGGGGTTCCTCACTAAGCGTCGTCGACTGAGTTGCCACTCAAGCCATTCAAGCCTCGTCATAAGCGCAGGCCATGTCTTCTAGGGTACAGCTGCTTCCTTCACCTAATTTTAGCTTTCGCTTCGTAAAATGCGCGACTTTCACGCATTGCGATGACTTGACGGGCAATGCCGTTTCTTACGAGATAAGGAAATGCGAATTATGATGTGAAATAGAAGCACGTTTCGGGTTACCACTAGATCACCGTAGCTCAATGTATTATCACGTTTTCAGTCTCATCTGACGTGCTTCTTCTATTTTCGCTGCATCCCGTCTCGTGTCTCAGGGAGGCCTTCGGGCGTGTCGAGTGACTGTAAAGGTGGTGGCCATAAAGGACGTGGGGTCGCTGAGTAACCCTGTGGTTCAAGTCGCCGTGGAAGACAGCTATTTTCGAACTTCAGACGTACGTAGTAACGCCACGCGCCGCTCCCCTCCCCTCCGCGCAGCACCGCATGCTTCCGTGATAAAGATCTCCGTTTCGCTGCATTCTATAGTTCTTTCCATTTCCCCCCCCCCCCCCCCCCCCCCCCTTGGTTGTACTTCTTATCAATGTCACGGTCCTGGGCAGGTCCTGCTTTCGTTCGCGTTATCAGCACTCGCGAATTTAATTTATACCCGTTGTCATTGCTGTCTCGGTTTGTGAATTCAGGTGCACGAGAAGACAGACGACGGTTTGATCACATTCGACCAAGGCCACTCGTTCGACGTCAAGGATGAAAAAGTAACCTTCGCCTCTTTCGTTTACTCTCGTGTCCATCTCGTTAACGCTTTCGCTTACTCTTTCGTTCACTTCTCGCACTTCTCCCTTTCCCTTCCTCCATTTCTCCCTTTCCATCACCCTTCTCCCCGTCTCCCTCCTCTCCTCCCCCGCGCGCTCACCTCCCCGACTTCATCCCCCATTCGTGCCCTCAGTCGTCCGGCTTCCCTTCCGCCTTCGCCATTTCCCCTGGCTTCCCCTCTTCCACCCACCCTCACTTTTTTTTTTTTTTTTTTTCCTTTCCGCCCATCCCCCACCCTTTCTCCCCCCGCTCCACCATCCCCCGCCCTTTCCTCCCCACCCTTTCCACTTTCCGCCTGTTCTCCCCGCCCCCTGTATCCGCGCAGTCGGCGGAGGTGCGCGTGGCGGTGGCGGGGAAGACGGCCATGGGCATGCGCAAGGTGCTGGGGTCGATCAAGCCGCTGCGCGTGTGTGACCTGCTCGAAACTGACCCCGGTAGGTGAATGGGGGAACATGCAGCACTGTGGGCGTGCGGCGAATGTGGGGGCATATGGGCTGGCGGATGAGGGGGCATATGGGCGGGCGGATGAGGGGGCATATGGGCGGGCGGATGAGGGGGCATACGGGCGGGCGGATGAGGGGGCATATGGGCGGGCGGATGAGGGGGCATATGGGCGGGTGTATGAGGGAGGGACCATATGGGCGGGCGGATGAGGGGGCAGGGCATATGGGCGGGCGGATGAGGGACCATATGGGCGGGCGGATGAGGGACCATAAGGGCGGGCGGATGAGGGGGCATATGGGCGGGTGAAAAAGTGGGTTCTGGGGTCCATCAAAGCGCTGCGCGTGGAGGGGCTACTTGAAACTGACCCGGGTGAGAGAGACAGGGAGTGACCGAGTGACAAGGCACAGGGTACAGACAGACAGACAGACGGCCATGGCCATGCGCAAGGTGCTGTGCTGGGGTCCATCAAGGCGCTGCGCGTGTGTGACCTGCTCAGAAACCGACCCGTGTATGTGAATGGGGGAGCATGCAGTACTGTGGGCGTTGGGGCTTGTGGGCGGGCGTGCGGGCATGGGGGGGGGGGGGGGGGGGGGGGGGGGCGGGCATGGGGAGGCCGTGTGGGTGACTTTTGAGGCACCTCTAAGGGTGTGCGGGCGTGCGGGGGTGCGGGCATGGGGAGGCCGTGTGGGTGGGTGGGTGCCGAAGTGGGGGAGTCCATCAAGCCGCTGTGCATAATCGTGGCCAAGGAGGGGAAGATAGCTGGTCTCGTTCAAACGAATCAAACCTCGCCCTCCAACCTGGCTCTCTTCTTCCATCCATTCTCCCCTCCCCTCCCCTCCCCTCTGCAGACCGCACACTGGAGCCCTTATGGCACGAGATCGTGGCCAAGGAGGGGAAGATATGTTTGACCACCCCCTTCAGCTTTCCAACCCCTCTCCTGAATCTGGTTCTCTTCTTCTCCCCACCCTCCCCTTTCCTTTTGCAGACCGCACACTGGAGCCCGAGTGGTACGAGATCGTGGCCAAGGAGGGGAAGAAATCGTCTGTAGGGAAGGTGAGATCGGGAGGGAGAGAGGTGAGTGAGAGGGAGAGGGAGGTGAGAGGGAGGGGGGTATGAAGATGAGAAGTTAAAGGGGGGGAAGCAAGAAGGCATCTGTAGGGAAGGTGAGCGAAAGAGGGAGAGGGAGAAGGTGGGAGCGGGGAGTGGGGGGGAGAATTCAACAGGGTGAGAGGTGGGGGGAAGCAGAAGGTGAAGTGTGTAAGAGCGAGAGGGAGAGGGAGGGAGCATGTTATGGTTTCATTCTACTGCATGAGGAGCTTACACGCATGTTATAATAAATACCCTGCAATGTTACGATTCCATTCAGATTCAACTGCACAAGGCGCTTACTTACATTACACGCGTCTTCTCTCTGAGTGCCCAGCAGCGCCCCAATGCTCCCCTTCCTCCCCCGCCTGCCTTCCCTCCTGCCCTGTACTTCCTTCCCCCTCTCGTCCTCCCCCTTCTCTTCCTTCCCCCTCTCTTGCCCTGTGCTGCTACGCGGTGGCAGCGCGAGCCCCCCTCCACAGCAGTTTTTTTTAGTCGACTCAAAACTTCCCCCCTCCTCCCAACCTCCCCTCCTCCCACAGGTGCTGCTGCTTGGTGGCAGCACGAGCCCTTCCAGATCAGTTTAGATTCAGTTGACTCGGAACCCTCCCTCGCTCCCAACCTCCCCCCCCCCCCCCCTCCCACCCCCTTCCCCCCTTCCCCTCCCCCCCCCTTCCTTCCTCCTCCCCCTCCCCTCCTGCAGGTGCTGCTGCACGTGGTGGCAGCGCGGGCGCCGCCACAGCAGCCCATCAAGCTTACAGAATGAGATGTTTGAGCGGAGAAATCAAACGCTGTTACTTACCCCAAATCTTGCCTCGCGCCCTGCCCTGCAATCCTCCCCCTCCTCTCTCCCCTCCCGCAGGTGCTGCTGCACGTGGTGGCAGCGCGGGCGCCGCCACAGCAGCCCATCAAGCTGTTTATCGGGTCGTGGAACGTGGGCAATGCACCCCCGGTAGGATGAGGGGATAGGTAGGGGTTACGAGGAGTTTTGAGGAGTGGTGGATGATGTGGGCTGTGCACGTGGATGTCCATCCAAGTGGATGCCAATATGTTGCATGTGCATGTGCATGTGCATGTGCATGCCTACATCTCACACTTGTGTGTGGGCATCTCTGCATGCACATGCCGTCCCGTGACCCATGCCGCATGCCCCATGACCCACGCCCCATGCCCCATGCCCAATGACCCATGCCCCATGCCCCATTGCCCACGCCCATGACCCATGCCCCATGCTCCATACCCCATGCCCCATGCCCCATGAACCATGCCCCATGCCACGCCCCATGCCCCATACAGCCTGACGACTTCTCTCCCTGGCTCCCCAAGGGCACAGATCACGAGCTCATTGCCATTGGCTCGCAGGTCAGTCCCTCATGCATGTGCATGTGCATGTGCATGCCTACATGCATCTTGCATGGTGCCGCCCGCCCGCTTGCCCCCTCTCGCCCCCTGGCTCCCCAAGGGCACGGACCACGAGCTCATTGCTATCGGCTCGCAGGTCAATTCCGCTGCTCCTCCCAGAAACGATTGAGCAACAAAAGAAACCATTCCAATCCAATGTGCTCATTCTCTCGCTTTCGCTGGCTCCCAACGGGCCCGGACGAAACTTGTGCTCGTTTCGTCTTGTCTCGTCTCGTCTCGTCTCGCAACCATCGATCAACTTCTGAAACATCTCAAAACGCAATATCTGAGATCTCTCAAAACTTCTCCCGGGCTTTATACGTGCACGCACGCACGGACCATATTTTGCATGCATTCGTATCGACTGCTTGCTGCTTGCGCGGCTTATCCCTTCGCTCTCATTCATCGAGTCATTCCGCCCTTTTCTGTCCTTTCCTCCCCACTCCACCCACCTCTTCATTTTGCTGCTCGCCTTGGCTTTGCTTTGTCAATGCCCCACACTCTGCTGTATGCCCCACACTCTGCTGTATGCCCCATACTCTGCTGTATGCCCCACACTCTGCTGCATGCCCCACACTCTGCTGCATGCCCCACACTCTGCTGTATCCCCCACACTCTGCTGTATGCCCCACACTCTGCTGTATGCCCCTCACTCTGCTGTATGCCCCACACTCTGCTGTATGCCCCACACTCTGCTGTATGCCCCACACTCTGCTGTATGCCCCACACTCTGCTGTATGCCCCACACTCTGCTGTATGCCCCACACTCTGCTGTATGCCCCACACTCTGCTGTATGCCCCACACTCTGCTGTATGCCCCACACTCTGCTGTATGCCCCACACTCTGCTGCATGCCCCACACTCTGCTGTATGCCCCACACTCTGCTGTATGCCCCACACTCTGCTGTATGCCCCACACTCTGCTGTATGCCCCTCACTCTGCTGTATGCCCCACACTCTGCTGTATGCCCCACACTCTGCTGTATGCCCCACACTCTGCTGTATGCCCCACACTCTGCTGTATGCCCCACACTCTGCTGTATGCCCCACACTCTGCTGTGTGCTCCACACTCTGCTGTATGCCCCACACTCTGCTGTATGCCCCACACTCTGCTGTATGCCCCACACTCTGCTGTATGCCCCACACTCTGCTGCATGCCCCACACTCTGCTGCATGCCCCACACTCTGCTGTATGCCCCACACTCTGCTGCATGCCCCACACTCTGCTGTATGCCCCACACTCTGCTGTATGCCCCGCACTCTGCTGCATGCCCCACACTCTGCTGCATGCCCCACACTCTGCTGCATGCCCCACACTCTGCTGTATGCCCCACACTCTGCTGTATGCCCCACACTCTGCTGTATGCCCCACACTCTGCTGTATGCCCCACACTCTGCTGTATGCCCCACACTCTGCTGTATGCCCCACAATCTGCTGTATGCCCCACACTCTGCTGTATGCCCCACACTCTGCAGCATGCCCCACACTCTGCTGTATGCCCCACACTCTGCTGTATGCCTCACACTCTGCTGTATGCCCCACACTCTGCTGTATGCCCTACACTCTGCTGTATGCCCCACACTCTGCTGTATGCCCCACACTCTGCTGTATGCCCCACACTCTGCCGTATGCCCCACACTCTGCTGTATGCCTCACACTCTGCTGTATGCCCCACACTCTGCTGTATGCCCCACACTCTGCTGTATGCCCCACACTCTGCTGTATGCCCCACACTCTGCTGTATGCCCCACACTCTGCTGTATTTCCCATCTCCCTCCGCATCTACGAATGCAATTATCAGACATGACTTGTTCCCACACTCTGCTGTATTTCTCTTCTTGATGCGCTATTTTTGATCTCCCTCCCTCCCCACCCCAACCAGGAGTGCGAGTATCAGCCTCGTTCTGGCTATGCCACCTGCATGGAAGACTGGGTGGCTGCATTGTTAACCGACCAGTAGCTCTCATGCATTGATTGCTTGCACCCTTTTCCCCTGTTTCACCTGTCACCTCCGCTCCACAGGAGTGCGAGTATCAGCCTCGTCCTGGCTATGCCACCTGCATGGAAGACTGGGTCGCTGCTATAAAGTAAGTGCCTGTCTGTCTTGGAATTGAGAAAGTGCCAGCTGTGTTGTAGTAAGTGCCATTTCTGCTTTTCCAGCTGCGCCACCTGCATGGAGGATTGGGTTGTTGTTATTAGGCAAGTGCCGTCCCCGATGTGAATGAGCTGTCAGTTGTGCTGTAGTTAATGTCGTTTCTTCTTTTGTGTAGCTACCCCTTAATCAATCAGTCTCACACTTTTGTAGTTTTTTCATAAATCGCTCGCTTTCTCAATCCCTTGTTTTCTCGCCACACACACACCCATGTCCTCAAGCGCACACTACTTATCTCGCACACTCCGTTTCTCACTCCCTCGTTTTTCCATGCACACTCGTTTCTCACGCTCTCTCCTTTCCCCACACACGCTCCGTTTCTCACGCTCTCTACTTTCCTCACCGCACGCACACTCCGTTTCTCACGCCCTCGTTGCCGTGCAGAGCACACTTCGCTCCGCACTACAAGATGGTGAAGGGCACCACACGTGGCCAGATGCGACTCGTGGTGCTGGTGCTGGAAACCTCACAGGTGCGATCATTGTTGACGCTGCTGCTGCTGCTGTTCTGTTGCTGCTAGTGGTGCCAGTGGTGGTGCCGGTGCTGGTGCTGGAAACTTCACAGGTGGGATCATTACTGCTGCTGCTGCTGCTAGTGGCGGCAGTGGTGGTGGTGGTGGTGGTGCTGCTGCTGCTAGTGGCGGCGGCGGTGG